TGGATGGGAGGGCTATGGTGGTTTGCTTTTGTTGTTATTATTTATTCCGTTTGGCAGGAAGGGGTCCTGAGGCTCAGTGCTAGTCTGGGGGGGGGGAGGGGGAAGAAGAACGAACAAGAGTATGCAACAGGAAAGACGGAAGTGATGTACATCTGCCGAAGAAAACAGTGCATGGAGTGTTCATAGCAGGCTTTACTGCAGAGTAGGGCTTTATGCAAAGCGCGTATTTAAAAAGGACCCAAAAGTTGCAGGAGCACTAGAATGGCATGAGGGTAGAGCTTGTCCGTGCGGTGGAATACTACACAGCAATGAAAAGGAACGACTGTTACAGGCAACGGCAGACAGTACCAAGCAAAACGCTCAGGGAGGAATACGTACGTACTATATAGTTCCATTTATAAGAAGCTGCAGAAGAGGAAAAACCAGCTCTTCTGGTAAAAGTGGGTATCACCAGCAGGGCCTACAAAGGGTGCTAAAATTCTGCACCCCAACTGAGTCATGGTACATACGTCAAAATCCACTAAGTTCTAATGCATCAGATTTTTTTTTAATTAAAATAAAATCAAGATTTATTTGATTTTCTTTGTTAAATACAATAGTACCACTTATTTTTTTTATTTTTTTGAGACAGAGTCTCGCTTTGTTGCCCAGGCTAGAGTGAGTGCCGTGGCGTCAGCCTCGCTCACAGCAACCTCAAACTCCTGGGCTCCAGCGATCCTCCTGCCTCAGCCTCCTCCCGAGTAGCTGGGACTACAGGCACGTGCCACCATGCCCGGCTAATTTTTTCTATATATATTAGTTGGCCAATTAATTTGTTTCTATTTATAATAGAGCCGGGGTCTCGCTCTTGCTCAGGCTGGTTTCAAACTCCTGACCTCGAGCCATCCGCCCGCCTCGGCCTCCCAGAGAGCTAGGATGACAGGCGTGAGCCACCGCGCCCGGCCTAGTACCACTTATTTTTGCATGAGTGACCAGCCTTGTTTCTTAGTGCTAATAATAAATGACCTATACCAGAAGGACAACTTTTTATAGGGCAAAATTCTGAAAAGCTA